AATCTGCGCCCCTTCCCTCCTAGTCCGATCCCCCCTCGCCCGTTGCCGCCCTCTGCCCACTCTTGTTCCACTGGTGCATGACATGACATGGATGTCTGGCTGGCGCTGACAGGGTACGTTCAACTACTCGCCGTTTCCCCCTTACCCCTCCCCCACCGCCCCTTCCCGTCCTCCGTCCCCCTGGTGCTGGCTGTGCAGATCTGGCTGGCGCTGGACATGGACGTGGCAGTGACGGGGTACGTCATGTTCAACTACTTGCCCTTTTCCGCCCTCACCCCTCCGCCACCCGCCCCTTCCGGTCGTCTGTTCCCTTGTTGCAGATCTGGTTGGCGCTGGACGTCGACGTGGCGGTGACGGGGTACGTCATGTTCAACTACTCGGTGGACATCGCTCCCGGTGACCCCGGCCGTGGCTTCTTCTTCTTTGTCGACCATGACCTCATGGACTTCGTCGAGGTAAGTTGACTTAATGGTTTTCATTGACGTGTTCCGTGAAGCACGAACCAGTACGAGCATCTCGTCTCACACTTCGTTCTCCCTCTCTACCTGCCTCTTTCCCGCTTTCCCTCCCACCCCCTTGGCAACTCTCCATGGGGCTGCTGCTGCTGCTGCTGCTGCTGGTGCTGCGAGCAGCAACAACGCGAGGAGTGGGAGGGGACTCCAGGGCAGGAGCGCAAGGCGGGGGGGGAGAACGAGACGGCCATCAGTGGCATGTGGGAGCTGGCACCTGGTAACCACACGCTCATGTGGGTGTGGGAGAAGCTCAACGATGAGCGTGCTGCGACGCGCAAGACTCGTGACTCCGCTATCATTTATGACCTGGAGGTCAGTGAACTGTGACCCCACTCTCACCTGCACACTGCCACCACACGTCGCAACAGTGCGCGCCCTCCCGTCTGCGCGCGCGCATCCCCCGGTCGCAACGCAGTGCACATCTCGCTTCCCCAAACCACATGTCGCCCTTCCTCCCTCTCAGGTGGAGGGTGTGGCGCGGGGCGGTGCAGAGCGGTGCAGGAGGGTGCCGCCGGGGATGCAGATCAGTGCGGATGGGCAGACGTGGACTCCTTGCCCTCCCGGCACGTTCAGTGAGGGCGGCGAGGGCCACTGCACGCCCTGCCCCGCCAACACCTTCAACCCCTTCCCCGAGGTGCCCCGCTCATTCCTCTGCTCGCACCCTCTGCTCATGGACCGCTTCTTGGGCGCATGGTGGTGTGTGCTTGCGAATGTGTGGTTGGGGATGGACGCATGGGGATGGGCGCACGGGGATGGGTTCAGGGGAGTATGTGAATGCTGCCATGTCTCATTTTCTGGTACTCAGGCAATCCACAGTGCTGTCTGCCAGATGCCCACTAAACTCACCTCCACCATGCTACTCCCCCCTGTTTTCTCTGCTGCTGTGTCATGACATGGCATGTTATGGCATGTTATGGCATGGTATGGCAGGGAGCGCAATGGGCGTGTGAGCGGTGTGGCGCGGGCACCACGTCACTGCCGGGCAGCAGCGAGTGCTTCCTGGGCGATGCACGAGTGCCCTCCTCCTTTTGCACCTTTGCCGTGCGCGTCCCCGTCGCCTACAACGCCTCCTCTGCCGCCCCACCTCCCCCCGCCTCCTCCTTCAACCCCTTCGCCTCCCCCGCCGCGCCCGCCCCCACCGGCCCCACGGGCGAGATGCAGCAGGAGGAGCAGTTTTGGAACGAGACGCTGGCGGAGGGCGGCGGCATGGTGGTGGCGGGCGGTGGGCTGACGGGCGCCACTGCGGGCGGCGGGCGGCTGTTCTTCGACCTGTCCCCGCTGGCACGGATGCATCCGGGGGTGATGTTTGGGGTGGCATCCAACGATGCAACCACCAAGAACGGCACCCAGCAGCCGTCCTACTTCCTCAGCATGTGTGACCGCGACCGCACCAACGACACGTGCTATGACTACGGCGGCAACGCACTCAACACGTACGCGTGCAAGGTGGACCCGGCCGAGGATGTGGAGGGGCGGCTGCGGCCGGGGCACAACCTGGGGGCGTCACTGGCGATAGAGTCGCTGGACGTGGTGGCAAGTGAGCTGCGCACGCGTGGGTTCGTGATGATGCTCAAGGGGGACGACTGCCCTGAGACCCAGCTGCCCCGCCAGACCAACATCACCTTCATCTGCGACCCCGCTGCTGGTAACTCCCCCACTGCTGGTAACTCCCCCACTGCTGGTAACTCCCCCGCTGCTGGTAACTCCCCCGCGCGCCATACTCTCTCACCCTGCCGCTGGACTCGTGACTCCAAGCGCTGCATCCCGTCGCTCTTCTCACCTCCCCCATCTTCCCCCCCTTCCTCTTTCCCTCCCTTGTTACTCGCAGCTTCTTTGTCCCTTGCCTCCGACGCCTGAATTCCCGAAGTCCCTCCCGCCCTCTTGTCTTGTCCTCTTGCACCCCTTGCCTGTTGCTGCAGGGCACGGGCAGCCGGAGCAGTGGACGAGTGGGGGGCGCATGGCTGCACTTGACCCACACCGGGAGTACCCCGAGTGGGCGCAGCGGGGGGGAACGGTGGAGGCCGTGGAGGCCACGGCGTGCGAGTTCAACCTCGTCTGGTACTCGCTCTTTGCCTGCCCGCTGTGCTCCGAGCAAGACATTGTCAAGGTGGAGGCCGCTGGGTGCAACGAGAACAAGCGCGTCACGTACAAGTACAAGCACCCCCGGGTGAGTACAAGCACCCCCGGGTGAGTTCAAGCACCCCCGGGTGAGTGAGTACAAGCACCCCCGGGTGAGTTCAAGCACCCCCGGGTGAGTTCAAGCACTCCCGGGTGAGTACAGTCACCTGGAACAACTATGGCTGCTCAGGTCCTTATCCTGTCCGCACATATGCCACTTACCCCTGCCCTAATCCGCCATAGTGTCTGCTCTCTCTCTTTGCGCCCACGTGGCTCTCCCAGGTGTGTCAGCCGAACCCCATGACCCCCCTGCCGGACGATGTGATGTGTGAGCCGTGCACAGCCGATGACTACGACCGATTCGAGGGCGAGTGCGCCGATGACGATGGCAAGCACAACGTCACGTACATGTGGCACCAGCCCATGCTCTGCAATGAGTCGCTCCCCGGCTCCGTTCAACTGCCGGCCGATGAGGTCGCTGGCGAGTGCACGTACAAGATCAAGTACGTGCCTTCGGATAAGCTGAGCTGGCAGTACATTGTGGTGTTTGCGGTGTCAGGCGTGATGATCGTGGTGTTTGGCGTGATGGCGCTGATGACGTGGCTCAAGAGCCGCAAGCTGCATGCCATGTATTCGCGGCTGGTGGAGCAGGAGATGAATGCGGTGGAGGAAGAGATGGACGACATGGATGGGGATGATGGTGGTGTCACTGAAGGGAAGCGCCTCACGGAGTCTGAGGAGGATGTTTGATCATGGTGGACCTGCAAACTGTCTGCTGCAGAAATTAGAGGTGTAGAAAGATTCAGATGGTACTTTGAATCTTAAATCGTCTGCTGCCCTATTTATTCAGTCAAATAGCCTTGGAGGTTATTCTGTCTGTAGTGAAACACATAATACTGTGTATTAAACTGTTTGCTGCGCTCAAGGCTCCACAACTGCGCCCGCGAATTTTTCCTTTCGCCGTGCGCCTATCCCCAGTTGACTGCGCTGACCATCCAAACATTTTTGTGTGCCAAACTTCCACAAATGTAAACGGGCTGATTCCCCCCACATCCCATTTCGCCCTCCCCTCGCCCGCTGGCCACGTTCGGAGCACCCTGCCCAGCTCGCCCGTCAATTCGCCAGGTTCGCCCAGCCAAAGTTGGCTGCCGTGAAGTGCGGCGCCGGGGTGCTGCGAAGATTGCGCGCAACTTTTTTGGTTGGCGCCTCCACCCAACAGCCAGAAACAACCGAAATGCGATCAGGCAGGACATTTTCTCGAGCATATAAAATCGACCCCGTTCATCCAACATTCATTCAATTCGCCCCTCGCTCAATCAATTTACTCTCATACTCGAAACAACTACCTTAAAACCGGGGTGCACATTCAGCTGAATGTGCATCAAAGGTTATCCCTTGACTGAGTGGGTTACGAGGTGTGCTTTCAACCCCTTCAAGTCGAAATTCGTTTCCCCCCTCCCCCGCAATTTCGTTTCCCCACGCCCCCGCAATTTCATTTCCCCCTCCCCGTCGAAATTCGTTTCCCCCCTCCCCCGCAATTTTGTTTCCCCCCTCCCCCGCAATTTCGTTTCCCCCCCCTCCCGCCAATCTGTTTCATCCCTCCCGCCATTCGGTTTCACCCACACTTGCCATTTCACCCCCTCCCGCCACCTACGAAATGCCCGAAGCTCTAGCGGAATCATTTTTTTGTCGCCCCTCGTGAGCCAATCACTGTTTTTCTCCAAACCCCCTTCCCAACATCTCAAGCCGAACCGCGTTGAATGTGCACCCTGGTTTTAAAACCGGGGTGCACATTCAGCTGAATGTGCATCAAAGGTTATCCCTTGACTGAGTGGGTTACGAGGTGTGCTTTCAACCCCTTCAAGTCGAAATTCGTTTCCCCCCTTCCCCGCAATTTCGTTTCCCCACGCCCCCGCAATTTCATTTCCCCCTCCCCGTCGAAATTCGTTTCCCCCCTCCCCCGCAATTTTGTTTCCCCCCTCCCCCGCAATTTCGTTTCCCCCCCCTCCCGCCAATCTGTTTCATCCCTCCCGCCATTCGGTTTCACCCACTCCCGCCATTTCACCCCCTCCCGCCACCTACGAAATGCCCGAAGCTCTAGCGGAATCATTTTTTTGTCGCCCCTCGTGAGCCAATCACTGTTTTTCTCCAAACCCCCTTCCCAACATCTCAAGCCGAACCGCGTTGAATGTGCACCCTGGTTTTAAAACCCGTGGGTCAAGAAGGCCAAATTTGGTTCATCCTTCCTAGTGTTGGTTGGATGTCCCAAAAACGCCTTTGATTTTCCCGAGTTTATAACAACTCGTCTAGCAACTCCCAACAAACCTTCCTAAGGTTGAATATCTTGGCCTGCGGGTTTTAAGCTTAGAAATGGCGATCTCGAGAACTCTTGCCCTTGCTTGCGCGCTCCCGCTCCTCGCTCTCCTCGTGACTTCACACTTCGTCAACGTCTCTGCTGACGTTTCTCTCGTGGGATTCTCCTCCTCTGACGTCGTTAGCTATGCAGGTAAAGCCCTTTCCCAACTTAAAACCATTTTCCACGTCTCTGCCGACTGTCCCTGCAGTGAAGCTCACTTTCCTCGCTAATTCATCAGATTCAATTGAAGTTTTCCCGATTCTCCCTTATCTCAGGCGATCTGGCTGATTCGGGCGCCTCGGTGTCGTCCTTAGCATCATCGACGCGCCGCGTGTTGGACAGCGACGAGGAGAAAGCGGCGAAGAAGGCGAAGAAGGAGGCGGATAAGGCGAAGAAGGAGGCGGAGAAGGCGGCCAAGAAGGCCAAGAAATCCAAGTCGCCCCCTGCTTCCCCCGAGCCCACGCCGTCCCCGCCACCCCCGCCGTCCCCGTCCCCCGCCACCACCACCAAGTCCCCCAAGACCCCCAAGACCCCTAAGACGCCTGTCGGCCCGTCTCCCCCCGCGTCGCCGTCCCCCAAGTTCGGAAAGTCCCCCAAGACGCCCGCGGGCCCGCGACCGGCGTGACGCCGCCGCCGAAGAAGGTGAGCGCGGCAGACGCGGGCGTGAAGGCGGACCTGGCGGCGGCGGCGAAGCTGGTGGACCAGGCGAACGCCGTGTCGACCGTGACGACTTACAAGAAGAGCTTGACCGACACGGCGCAGGCGCTGCGCAACGCGGGCATTCTGATCGACCAGGGGCAGCGCACGCTGGTGCCGGGGCAGATCACCAACGCCATCTCCACCATCAAGGGTGTCTCCGTTATGCTCAAACCCGCTACCGATAAGGCCACGCTCGGCCTGCTCAAGTCTGCGCAAACCAAGGCGGAATCCGCCCAGGCCGCTTTCAAGCCCTAGGGCGCGGGGGTGCAGCGACTCGACAGCGAATAAGCCGAGGCTTGGCGGCATGGAGAAGAAGGGGAACCTAGTTTGCCTCCTGCTGTCGACCACGCGGTGCAACATGCTGCTAGGGGAAAACGACACCATACTATGCATATACTAGGTCCTAGGGACGATTCTAACTACCGTAGCTGTACGCGGATTAGTGAATACATCGTTTTTCACGTGACATAATCCATGGTTGCGTCAGTATGGGATGTCCGACCACAAACGGGCAAATCGTTGTACTGTAATTTCATGCCCATGTGTGTGCTCATGCAAGTGTGCTCCCATGCCGGTGCTTCATGTTGAAGGTGTTCATGCATTTGCGCACATGCTCAAGGTGCTCTCATGTAAATTTCTCATGTGCTCAACAAGTGGGATTCAGGGTGTGCGTTCCATGTATTTCATGTCATTGTGTAAGGAAATTTCTCGCTATTCCTTACTGCGACCATCAACATCGCGTACAGTTGCAACCGTTGTTCGCCCATTACTGCTAACGGGGCTTCGCCAACTTCGCGCGTACTGTTTCACCAAACCTCGCACTGCTGGAGCAGCCGAGTCAGCCTACGCTTCGGGACTAGCCCGAACCTCGCGCCAGCGTAGCACTAGCTAGCTTGCACGCACCGCGTTACCATTTGCATGTTTCGCGTATAAGTATTCGCTCATGCCTTCGCTCACAGTTTGTACTCGTTGAACACTCTAGTGCAATCCTCACTACCTCAATTCTTTGCACCCGTAACACATTGCCACCTTGTGTGGAAAATATGTTTGCATTGACTGTTTGGAGTGTACACAGGGTTGCATTCAAACACCATTTTTCCCAGAGCATTGTTCTTCAGGCATAGTGCACGAAGGGAAGTACTGGTAACATCATTTCAGCAGGGCGTGCGCCTAGGGAATGTCGAAGAGCTTCTTGAGCTTCACCACCAGTATCCAATCCTCTCGACTCAAGTCGTCCTGGTTCATGAGGGGAGTGCGAGGGCGAATGCAAGATGTGAAGAGATTCGAACAACAGATGACAGCATTGGAGGGTGGACGGGAGGCAGGATGACAAGAATTGAGGAGGTCTGACAAGAGAAAACAAGGGTGAAGTGGGAGAGACATAGTTGCAAGGGCGAAGAGTGGGCAGTGGAGGGAGGGGGTACGGGGGGGAAGCATACGCGGTAGTTTTCTTTGAGGAGGTCGATGGAGTTGCGAGTAATGCGGCTGACGAGCTCGTCATCGCTGTCAAAGTGCCGCCCGTACGACTTCTGTATCTCCTCCGCGTTCACCCCCACGATCTGACGCCCTCATGCCCATGCACACAGGCAGATGCAGGAAGGCAGTGGGGAGCGATGTGAGGGGAAAGCAGCAGGGGTGGCAGGAGCAGAGGTGTCACGGGGGTTGAGGGAGCGACGGAGAGAGAAAGAGGGCAGGCCAGCAGTGAAGGCATGCAAAAGATAGGACACGAGGCAGGAGGCGAGGCGCATGAGAGCGCCTTACCTTCATGGCGACGGCCTGGCCCTTCTTGGCGGTGTCGACCATCTTGTGGTCCTTCTCCATTGATGCGATCTTGCCTATGTCTATGAACTCACGCCCCGGCACACATATGGGCGTGCCCACCTGCCACACACAGGCACAACAGGGAGAGGCGTTTCAGCGTGTTGCCCAGAGTGTCAAGCACACAAGACACATCTGAAAGATCATGAATAAATTTAACCTGCCCTCCCCACTCCCTCACGCTCCCTCTCCTCTCCCCACCTCTCTCTCTCACCTTGGCAATGCCGTCCAGCACCTCGACACCAAGCACGATGGGGTCCTTCTTGTTGAAGATGCAGTTGGGCATGATCTTCAGCACCACCGGGAACACCGCCTCCTCCGCCGCCTCCGCACGCTTCTCGTCCTTCACGCCCGCCATGTACGCCGTGAACTGGTCAAACAGGTGGTAGATGATGTCCGCTGTGAATATGCGCACTCCCAGCTCCTCCGCCATCTCCCTCGCCTCCGTTGACACCTGTCGGCCCCACACACACACCGTCGTGAGGGAAGGAGTTGGTAAGGGAAAGGAGAAAATATTAAGAGAGCAAGGTCGGTTGAAACAGCCGTGAGCATAAGCAGAATTGGGTATACAGGCAATGCCGATCAGACCAGCAGGGGTGGTGGGCGCAGGCAGCACCTTGACGTCGAAGGCGAGGATAACGGCATACTCCTTCTTCTTCCTCTCCAGCATCACACTCGCACGCATCACGTCCTTCTTGTGCACCGGCCCAATGGCAATGCCCGACACGGGGATCTTCACAGCAGGGCTCTTGAGGAACTCCAGCAGCGCCTCCAGCGACCCCAACGTGCTGGCCTGCACGCTCACGCCCTCGCCACTCTTGTCCACGCGCGACAGCACGCCTTTCACATCCGCCATGGCCTCCTCTCTCAGCTCGTCCACGTCGTCGTCGGGCCCCACCACGTACAGCTGCGTGCCTGCTACTGCGTGCTCCAGCCCCTGCGCCGTGATCTTGATGCCTTGTGCTGCGCGCAGCTCCTTGTGATGCATGTACGAGCCCTGGGGGGGAGGGAGAGGGGGGGGAGGCGGATGGAGAGTTAGAGGGCAAGGAAGAGGAGACACGGGGATAAAATAAATGGGGATAGCGGGGTGAAGTTCAGGAAGAACTGGGTGTGGTGCAGGGATGTGTGTGGGGCAGGGACGTGTGTGGGGCAGGGATGTGTGTGGGGCAGGGACGTGTGTGGGGCAGGGATGTGTGTGGGGCAGGGATGTGTGTGGGGCAGGGATGTGTGTGGGGCAGGGATGTGTGTGGGGCATGCAAGGCAGTGCGAGCCAGCAGAGCAAGTGGGGATGGTATGGAGGTGAGAGGCGCAGACGGGGTGGCATGGCGGACTGACCTTGACGCGCAGCTCCTTCATGGGGTGTGGCGTCAGCAGCGCTCTGATGCTCGTCACTATGGGCCCCTGCAGCACCGCAACAACACATGCACGCACACAGTGGAAGGTCAGCAATAATAACCTCAACAGAGCATCGGAACACGCAGACAAGACACAGGCACTTCCCTCCATCGCTCTCCTTTTGCATGCCTTCTGGTCACCCCCCTGATTCTCAGGCCAAGCCATAGACACCCAAGCCACAAGGCGAGGCAACCCAGTGCCAAACGCTTTCTCAGCCCCCATTCCCGCACACCCCGCCGTCTCCTCCCCCACCTGCCAGCCCCCCTGTGTGTCCCACCTGCAACGCCCCTCTCTCCCTCACCCACCTGCATCCCCCCCCCTCGCCCCCTCACCTGCAGGCCGCACACAACGATTTGATCCCCTTCATGCAGCACCCCGTTCACAAGCACCACGTCGATGGTGGTGCCGAGGCCCTCGATGACCTTGACCTCGAGCACGGTGCACTGCACGCTGGCCACGTACATGAGCTGCTCCTCCATCAGCTTCTGCGTCAGCTGCACCAGCAGCAGCAGCAGGTCCGGCACGCCCTCGCCACTGCCCAGGGAGAGGGGGAGGGGAGAAGGGGGGCGGGGGGGTGTGTGAAAGAGACATTGGGGAGTCGAGGGAGAGATTGGGCACATGGGGGGTGGCCGCGAGGGGAGGATGAGCGCAGGGGGGAATGGGGAAGTGAGCGGTTGGCAGAAGGGAAATGGGGCATGGGGGGAGGGGCTATGGAGGAGTGGGGCATGCGGGAAGGGGGAATGGGGGCAGATGGACGTGAGTGGCAGAGTGAGCGCACCTGATGGCGGAGGTGGGGACGATGGAGATGAACTTGCGGATGTCGGGGTTCTTGTAGTACAGCGCCGCGTTCAACCCCTGCTCCTTCAGCTCCAACATCACCTGCCCAGCGGACATGATGGGGGGAGGAGGGAACACAGGAGGGGTAGCAATGAATGAGGAGAGGGCAGGTTGGAGGCGAATGTCAGCAGCGAGCGAGAAACGACCCCTCATAGCATTCTGCTCCATCCCTCTGCCCATGCACTCCTCGCCAACCCCACCCCCCTGCCCCCTGTCCCCACTGCACCCCGCCCCCTGCACCCCCTCCTGCCCTCTTAGGCACGCACCTGGTCGGTGCGGCGGTCGAACTCGAGGATGGCGTCTCTCGTCTGCTTCTTCAGCGCCGCGCGGATGGGCGCATTGGGCGTCGCGTTCCACCCGTATATGCGGTCCACCTGGCACATGGGGGTGGATAAGATGTGCATGGCATTATGCAGAGGGGATGGTACAGCATGAGACCATCCTAAAGCCCAAAGCCATGGCATGGCATGGCATGCACAGGCACAGGAAGGTCCTGGAACAGCACGTCACATGGAAGCAATGGTCTGCCAACCCAACCCATCTATTGAACAACACAATCCCGCCACACGCGCACCTTGTTCATGGCAACGACGAAGGGCGTCTTCCTCATCTTGAGCAGGTTGAGCGACTCGATGGTCTGCGGCTCCAGCCCGTGCATCAGGTCCACCACCAGGATGGCGATGTCACACAGCCCTGACCCGCGCGCACGCAGGTTCGTGAACGACTCGTGCCCGGGCGTGTCGATGACCAGCAGCCCCGGGACACGGAGAGACGCGTCGGCCTTGAGCTCGCGCGTGCGCTCGCGGATGTTGGCCATGGGGAAGTAGGTGGCGCCGATCTGCTGTGTGATGCCGCCCGCCTCTCCCTCCTGCACGTTGGTGCGGCGGATGCAGTCCAGCAGCTTGGTCTTGCCCGTGTCCACGTGCCCCAGGATGCAGCAGATGGGCGACCGCAGGTCCTCCGCACTGCGTGCCTTCATCGCCTCCTGCTTCCGCTGCTCCCGCCGCTCCCTCGCTTCCATCCTCCGCGTCTCCTCCCCTTCCTCCTCGTCAGTCTCCTCATCATCATCCTCGTCCTCCTCCTCGCTATCCTCCTCTTCCTCACTCTCCTCCTCCACCCTCCCCTTGCCACCTGCCGCTTTACCCTTCGCCTTAGCAGCAGCAGCCTTCTTGGAAGCCCCGTCTGCCGGTTTGGCCTTGGCAGCA